GTGTGAGGGGTGTGCCAAAAATTGTCCTGTGGGCGCATGCGAAAGCAGCCACTGGGGCCTCCGGTGGAATTCCCAATGGGGCCACGAAGCGCGTGAGAGGTGTGCCGACATAGGTGCTGTGGGCGCATGCGAATGCAGCCACTGGGGCCGTCGGTGGAGCTCCGTATGGGGCCGCGAAACGTGTGATGGGTGTGCCGAAATGGGTGCGGTGGGCGCGTGCGAACGCAGCCACTGGCGCTAACGGTCGGATTCCCAATGCGGCCAATAAGCTCGTGAGGGATGTGCCGGAATGGGCGTGGGTGACGCATGCGGGCGGTGGCACCAGGGCCTTCGGTGGAGCTCCCCATGGGGCCACGAACCGCGTGATGGGTGTGACGACATGGGTGTGGGGGACGCATGCGGGCGGTGGCACCAGGGCCTTCGGTGGAGCTCCCTATGGGGCCACGAAACGTGTGAAGGGTGTGCCAAATCGGGTTTGGGGGACGCATGCGGGACCCCCCTGGAGGCTTCGGTGGAGCTCCCCATGAAGCCACGAAACGTGCGACGGGTGTGCCAACTTGGGTTTGGGGGGCGCACGCGGGCGGTCCCACTGGGGGTTTCGGCTGAGCTCCCTAGGGGCCCACGAAGCGTGTGAGGGGTGTGCCAACTTGGGTTTAGGGGGGGCACGCGGGCGGTCCCACTGGGGGCTTCGGTGGAGCTCCCTGTGGGGCCACGGCGCGTGTGAGGGGTGTGACACATTGGGTTTTGGGGACGCATGCGGGCGGTCCTACTGGGGGCTTCGGTGGAGCTCCCTATGGGCCCACGAAGCGCATGAGGGGTGCACCAATCAGGTTTTGAGGACGCATGCGGGCGGTCCCACTGGAGGCTTCGGTGGAGCTCCCTATGGGGCCACGAAATGTGTGAGGGGTGTGCCAAATTGGGTTTGGGGGACGCGTGCGGGGTTTCGGTGGAGCTCCCTATGGGGCCACGAAACGGTGCACTGGGTGGGTGAAACGCAGACGGCGGAATGAATGGGCGGAGCGCGGGACAGGCAGGCCCATCGGGGATGGCGAGCCCCCCTGCCGCCGAAGCAGCGGCGGCCCGCGGCGCGCGCGCGACCCGCGGGCCGCCGGCCAGGCCGGGCCGCGGGCGGGAGCAGCGAGCGGGCCTCGCGAAAGGGCCCGCGCGGGCGCTCCTCAGCCCGCGCACCTGGGACGTAAGCCAGGGCGCGCTGCGCGCCGCGACTGCGCCCAGGGGGGGACCGTCGGCCCCCGCCAGCGGGCCACGAAGGCCCCGACGCGGCAGACCCCCATAGGCCGCAGACGGCCGCGGCCCCAAGAAGAGCCACCACCGTCGAGAGCTGCCTCGGGCTGCCGGTGGATCTGAGCAGCGGGGTTAATCGCGAGCGGCGGCCGCCGCTCGAGTCGGCCTGAGCGGGCCACGGGGTCTCTCGCCGCCTGACCCGCTCTGGGCAAGGGGCCTGGGGGCCCCGTGATCAGCCAGGTCGGCCTCCAAGAGCCGTTCGCATTCACAGATTGCTTCGCGGCCTTCAGAAACTGACCGATCTGGCACCGAGGAGGTCGCGTTGCTGCGATCTGTGCAGCGCGTGCACCTCGAAGTGCCCGAATCTGATCCTCTGCCTGCCATGGAGCGCCACGCTCCACCGCGCGCCTGCGGCGTCGCAGCCGAGCTCGGCGAAGGCCGCGGCTCGGGGCCGAGGGGCAGGCGCCAACGGGCTCGCGGAGGAGGAGCGACCCTAGGATGACTGGAGGGGGCTCCGCAGAAGCGAGGCCACGGGCCACCATGCTTCTATTCTCGACCTGCTCGATCCGGCCCGAAGAGCCCCTCAGTTGGCCGCCGATGGCCCCCAGCAGCTCGCGGTCGAAACTCCCGAGGGCGCTCTGCAGATCGTCGCGCGACACGGTGGCGCGGCGAGGGGGCGCGGCACCCGCGGCGCCGCTCGGGCCCCCGCCTCGCCGCGCGCCCCGCGCGCCAACCCGCAGCGGGGGGGGCGGCGGGCGCGGGCCTTTCTGCGGGCGCGGCCAGCGGCCGCCGAGGGGGGCGGGCGCCTGGCGGGCGGGACCCTGGGCCCCCAGTGCCCGCCAAGAGCCCCTCCCTCCCCGCGCCCGGTGCTGCGCTGGCGGCTCGGGTCCCAGCGACAGGCAGCTCGGGAAGCCACGAGCGAAGGAGGACGTCCCCCATCTGCACCAGCGCACCAGGTTGGCAGCGTCGTCATTGCGCCGTGGTCCAGTCGAAGACGTTGGCTATGTATGACAATCCCCGCTCGTCTTCGAAGAACCTGTCGATGGCTTCGCCCAGCGACGGGAACCGACGCACGCGATCCCGCCCGCTAGTGTACTTGCCGCCTCCGAGTCTGGCGACGATCGCCTGCCACGCGACCGCGCCTCCTCTGTGCACCCCGACGAAGTCATCGCTTGAACCCGGGGCGGCCCATATTGCGTGGCAGTGGCTGCCGGCGGCAAGGGCGGCCCGAACCACAGGTTCGGCACCTGCTGACCCTTCATGGCGGCCCGCGCTGGGTGCTGCCCGGGATGACGGCCCAGGGGGTCCCCTCTGGGTCCTCGGCCGCCTCTGGCGCGGCCTTCTCGCCGCTGGAAATGGGTCTTGAATAAGCCTCACAGCCGAGTGGATCGCCCGTGCTCTGGCCGCGGGCCCTCCACGCACCAACCGCAGGCGCGTCCGGCACGCAGCGCGGGGCGGGCTCGGACTGAGAGAGCTGCAGAACACTTCTTTCTAATATCGTAACCGCTATGCTCAGAGCCTCATCATCACGTATAGTCACCATCAGCAGAATCACAATCATCATCACCACCACCATCATCAGCAGCAGCATTATGATGATGATGATAATACGAGTCATACTACTAATAATAATACTTTTAATACTTTACATAATAATAATAATCATAATAACAATAATAATGATCAAATGATAATAATAATCATCATCATCAGCATCATCATCATCAGCATCATCATCAGCATCAGCATCAGCACCAGCATCAGCATCAGCATCATCATCATCATCATCATCACCATCATCATCATCATCATCATCATCATCATCATCATCATCATTTCATCATCATCGTCATCATCATCAGATAGAATCATCAACTGCAGCATCCTCATCAGCATCATCACCACCACCATCAGCATCGTTATCATCATGACCACCACCAAATCATCATCAGCATCATCATCAGCATCATCATCACCCCCACCACCACTACCATCATCATCATCATCAGCATCATCATCATCAGCATCAGCATCAGCATCAGCATCAGCATTAGCATCATCATCATCATCACCATCATCTCATCATCATCGTCATCATCATCAGATAGAATCATCAACTGCAGCATCCTCATCAGCATCATCACCACCACCATCATCATCGTTATCATCATGACCACCACCAAATCATCATCAGCATCATCATCAGCATCATCACCCCCACCACCACCACCACCACCACCACCACCATCATCATCATCATCATCATCATCATCATCATCATCATCATCGTCGTCGTAGTCGTCGTCATCATCACCATTCCTCAATATTCCCACCACGGCTCTCCCAAGCTTGGGGATACAAAGTGTCACACATGACAGCCTCAGCTGACCTCTCGAACACTCGCCACCCTGAATGCTGGGCTGGCACGGTGGCAGGACTTCCCGCGGGAAGCTGGGGAACGAGACTAAGCTTTCCTGGCCCTGGCGAGCTTCGGCCGCCCATAGGTTCCCCGACCAAGATCTCAGGAGCGGCCCAGAAGCCGTAGCGGCTCCTCAGCCCAAAGTGGCCCACACTTCTCGGTGCGCCGAGAACGGGGGCCAGGAAGAGGGGGGGGGGGGGGACCCACCATGGCCCGAGGGCAATGTGCGCAGACGAGTGGGAGCCAGAGGACGTGCTGACATGAGAGGGCGGCGCAAAGTCTGGGAGCTTCCATGGCCCCGCGAGCGCGCTCTCCCCCGGCGACGCTCGCCCCCGTCCTCCAAGGAGGGGGGCTGACGCCGCGGCGCCGTCCGCGGCACACCCGAGAGGGCGAGCCGGACATACCGCGCCTCGGAGAAGGCATGCGCCACGCCGCTGCAGCACGAACTGCTGGGCCGCTCGAGGAGCAGGAGGGCGGGGAACAAACAACGGCGTAAGCCTTCGGAGCCCCGCGCGGACTTCTTGGGTCGGCGCTGGTCCCCGCTCCCTCGCACACGGAGCGCGCCAGAGGCGGCGCCGGGGGCGCCGCCAGGGGTCCCTAGCGCCGATCCGAGAAATCCGCGTGGAGCTCGGAGAAATTGTGCTTCCGCCGTCTTTTGTGGTGCGCAACGACCAGGGGCCACGAGGGGGGCGAATATAGTCCAGGGGAGGGCAATACCTGCATCCAGGGTCGCCGGCCGATGGTCCCGGCCTCCGGGCGAGTACACGTAATGCCCGCCCCTGGGCTATTCCCAGACCCCCGACGTAATGATTTTTTCATTACGTCGACCCCCAGAGGTCCCGACCCTTTCCCCATGACCGGCTTTGCGTCCTGAGTCGTTTTTTGACGCTCCCGAGGCCCGGTGAGGGCCCCCGGAGGCCGGAAATTAGGAAAAACCTCCCGTCATGATTTTTTCATTGCTCGAGGGGGTCTGGGTTCGCCCCCATCGTCGCCTCCGAGACGAGGGCCCGCAGAAGCGGGCCCTAAAGCTGGCCAAGAGCGACCGGCCCAGCCCGCCGGCGCCCAGCCCGAGCGGGCCCGGCGCGGGGCAGCCACCCGCCCTGCCAGGAGGGCACGAGAGCCGCGCCCAGTGGGACGGCAAGGGGAGGGAAGCCTATCGGCGACTCCGAAGGGTGTGGTCTGCAAAGGGTGTGCACCCTGCGAGATGCTTAAGAAATCATGGGTTAAGAAATTCATAGTCTCAGGACTTGGATAAAGACCCAAAATTTCCACTCAGATCTTAGGATTCACATTGAAACATGAAGAATGATCGAGACTCTGGCCGAAAACTTGGGTTTTCTTAAGCATCGCTTAAGGTGTAGTCTGCAACTGGCACCCTGGGGGGGCACCCTGGATCGCGGGCGATGACCTCGACAGAGCTCTCCGTCGCGCCCCGAGGCGGCCCGACAAGGACGGCGTCGTGCTCCCCAGTCCCCGAGATCCTGTGAGGGGCAGCGGTAGGGGGGGACTGGCATAGGGGGGGATGCATCGACCTGGAATCGGCCATACATCGCCGATAGATCGGCGGTAGGCCCCCGATAGTGAATCCGCACCTTGCCGTGCAGGTTGGGGCTATCGCGCCCCTATTGGCGATCAATGGGCGATTGGGGGTCGATGCATCCCCCCTTATGCCTATCCCCCCTATCGTTGCCCCCGATCCTGGTGTCAACCATCCTGTGGTGCTGGATCCTCGTTTTGAAGAGACAGCGCCCCGCGTTCCTCTCCTCTCCTCATCCTCCCCCTCCTCCCTCCTCCCATCCGCCTCGTCACCCCCCTGCGTTTCACCACCCAGGACAACGTTTCGTGGCCCCACAGGGATCTCCGCCGAAGGCCCCAGTGGCAGGGTTCGCATGCGTCAGCCCCCCCATTTCGGCACACCCCGCACACGCTTCGTGGCCCCATAGGGAGCTCCACCGAAGGCCCCAGCGGCAGGGTTCGCATGCGTCCCCCAGCCCATTTCGGCACACCCCTCACACGCTTCGTGGCCCCATAGTAGGAGCTCCACCGAAGGCCCCAGCGGCAGGGTTCGCATGGGTCCCCCGGCAGGGTTCGCATGCGTCCCCCCGCCCATTTCGGCACACCCCTCACACGCTTCGTGGCTCCATAGGGGGCTCCACCGAAGGCCCCAGCGGCAGGGTTCGCATGTGCCCCCCCGCCCATTTCGGCACACACCTCACACGCTTCGTGGCCCCACAGGGAGCTCCACCGACGGCCCTGGTGCCACCGCGCGCATGCGTCACCCGCGCCCAGTTCGGCACACCCCTCACACGGTCCGTGGCCCCATAGGGAACTTCGCCGAAGGCCACAGCGACAGGGTTCGCATGCGTCCTCCCGCCCATTTCGGCACACCCCTCACACGCTTCGTGGCCCTACAGGGAGCTCCACCGAAGGCCCCAGCGGCAGGGTTCGCATGCGTGCCCCCGCCCATTTCGGCACACCCCGCACACGCTTCGTGGCCCCATAGGGGGCTCCACCGAAGGCCCCAGCGGCAGGTTCGCAGCGTCACCCCCGCTCATAATTTCGCACCACAAACAAAAAACGTCTCAACAACGTTTCGTGGCCCCACAGGGAGCTCCACCGAAGGCCCCACGGCTGCCGTCCGCATGCGTCCCGCACACCCATTTCGGCACACCCCTCACACGTTTCGTGGCCCCATAGGGAGCTCCACCGAAGGCCCCAGTCGCTGCGCCCGCATGCGGTTCCACCCCCCATTCTGGCACACCCCTCGCATGTTTCGTGGCCCCATAGGGAGCTCCACCGAAAGCCCCAGTCACGCGGCAGATATCGTAAACACCCTTCCTTATCCCCCCGCCCACTTCGGCACAACGCCTCGCACATTCCGTAGCCCCATAGGGCTCCCCCGAAGGCCCCAAAGGCAGGAATTTTCGCATGCTTTCCCCCCGCCCATTTCAGCACACCCCTCAAACGTTCCGTGGCCCCATAGGGAGCTCCACCGACGGCCCCAGTGGCACGGTTCGCATGCGTCCTCCCGCCCGTTTCAGCACACCCCTCACACGTTCCGTGGCCCATAGGGAACTCCGCCGAAGGCCCCAGTGGCAGGGTTCGCATGCGCCCCACCGCTCATTTCAGCTCACCCCTCACACACACGCACACCTCACACACACGCTTCGGGGACCCCATGAAGAAGCTCACCGAAGGGCCCACCTGGACCTCCACGCTGGTTCGTCATGCGTCGCCTCCGCTCATTTTCTGCACACCCCTCCACGTTCCGCGGCCCCATCGGGACCTCCACACCGAAGGCGCCCCCGCGCAAGGTCGCAAGCGTTCCCCCAGCCCATTTCGGAGCACCCCACAAACCCCCCTCCCCACAGGATCGTGGCCCCCATAGGGGTCTCCAACCGAAGGCCCCAGCGGCAGGGTTACGTATTAGGTCACCGCTCATTTCCAGCACAAACAGCAGACACGTCACACCCTCACACGCTTCGTGGCACCCGCCACCATATGGAGCACCATCCGAAAGGGAGGCCCCCAGTGGCAAGGATCGCATGCTTCCCCCTGCCCATTTCGGCACGCCCCTCACGAAGATCGTGTCCCCATAGGCAGCTCCACCCACCGAAGGCCCCGCGGCAGGCCGCATGCCGTCCCCGCCCATTTCGGCAACAAAACCCTCACGAGGTCGTGGCCCCGAAGGGAGCTCCACTGAAAAAAAAAAAAAAAAAAAAAAAAAAAAAAAAAAAAAAAAAACAAAAAAAAAAAAAAAAAAAAAAAAAAAAAAACAAAAAAAAAAAAACAAAAAAAAAAAAAAAAAAAAAAAAAAAAACAACAAAACAAAAAAAAAAAACAAAAAAAAAAAAAAAGAAAAAAAAAAAAAAAAAACACAAACAAAAAAACAAAAAGAAAGAAAAAAAAAAAAACAACAAAAAAAAAACAAAATAACAAAGACCAAAACCAAACACAAAAAAAAAAAAAAACACAAAAACACACACAAAACACACGGGCACCCTCAACGCGTTACTCACAACTGCGTATGGTTGGGTCCTTCGTCTGGATAATTTCAAAACGGGCGGTTCCGCTTCACTGCGGGCCCTGGGACCCTCACGGATCGATCCGGCTTACGAAATGGCGCAGAAAGATAGGGTCCGGGGCTCTGGCCGTGTGTGTGTGTGTTATGTTTGCGATGTTGCAATTGTTCTGCAACGTCGGATCTCAGGGAACATCCCAGAATGCAAATGTCCCGCCAAGATCGGTGCCGGCAGGCGACCTGCAGCCTGCAGCACAGCAGCCTTCGTCGGCCCGAGCTCCAGATAGCGACTCGAGCCAGGGCTTGCTGTCGCTGTTGCTTCGTTTTGAAAAATGGGCATGCGACCTGGCCTGGCACAGAAACGGAAAGAGCGCTTCAGAAACAGAAACCGAAATTACTCGCACCACCGTTCGTACTGGGAGCCTTGGCGTTGAGAGCTTGTTACGTCACCCCTCGCTCTTGGGAGCCTTGGTGTGTTCAGAGATTGTTGCGTTGCCGCCCATTCCTGAGCCTTGGCTGGGCCTTGGTGTCAGGAACTTGTTACGTCAGCGCTCTCTGCTGGGAGCCTTGGTCTTATCAGCTTGTTTACGTCACCGTTCGCTCTTGGGAGCCTTGGTGTGAAGAACTTTTTGCGTTACCGATCGCTCTCTATTTGGCGTCTCTGGGCCTTCTTGGGAGTCCTATTGGGGCTCTTGGGGGCCTGTTGGGGCGCGTCTTGGACGCCTCTCGGGGCGTCTCGGAAGGCTTTTGGGGCCGACCTTTGGGGCCTCTTAGGCCGTCGGGTACCCTTCTGGGACGGAAAAGGGGAGAACCCGAAACACATACTACAAAAACCCGAGGGAAAACCCGAAAACGGCCATTCACACTCATTCCCTCCCCATACCCCCCCTTCTGCACTCCCCCTTAGGGGCTTCGCCCAAAACACAACGTCATCACTCGTACCGCGCTTTTTCTGTTATCCGCAGGCCTGCGGATCGAATTCTTCTAGCTATCGCCCCTAGCTGCGTTCGGCACTGGAAGATGAATGGCATCCGCTGACGACTCTCAGACGTCGGGCCATTAGACCAAACGTCTGGTGCGATGGAGTTCTATTGAAAAAGCACGGGCCATTAGACCAAACGTCTGGTGCGATGGAGTTCTATTGAAAAAGCACGGGCCATTAGACCAAACGTCTGGTGCGATGTGTTGAAGCAAACTCTACAGAAGACGGCAGGTATTCATGCACTCAGTGCCATCGAGACACATTTGGCGAGGCTCGGTGGCAGCTGTTCGCGTCATCCTGTGGTTGCGGCTCCCCCAAATTTTCTCGTCGCCTGAACCTCCTGTATTCCTCCTCCTTTTCCCTCCACCAAGAAAGGCGAATCGTCGGCATCCCGTGGCGCCAGCTGTGCCAAAAGAGCTTCAAACCAGCAAATGAGGCCTCGGCACAGGCGGATGCAGTCGGCGGCGGCCCTGCGGACTTAGCGGGGTTTCGTCTCGCCGATGTCGGCAAGCTCCGGAACTTCTGGCTGAGGTGCTTGCGGCTCTGGCTCTGCGCCCATACGGACGAAAGGCAAGAAATCTTGATTTCTGACGCGGGTGATCCGTGCGCTGCTCCACTTGCGCAGGTTTGCCTCGAAGCCCTGCAAAGAAGCGCTGGACACGTTCAGAGGAAGGACCTTGCCAGTCTCGTCCTGGTTGCCAAGGCGCCTGGAGCGGTGCCACGCGCCTGCAAAGGCGCGTGCCGCTGACGCAGTCCTAAAATTGATGAACGCGAGACCTTTCCCGGAGCCGTCATTGAAGTTCCTCGCCAGCCAGCCCCAACTGGGGGAGCTGTGTTCTTTACCCCTTTGGGGAGCCCATTGTGTCTGCACTCCTCGAGAGGGGTGTCGCGGCCGATGGGTCCCCCCAGGGGGGTAAGGACCACGGCTCCCTGGGCGTGGCTGGGCCGTCCTCGGAAGCCACGCAAAGTCGTACTTCTCTGCGAAACCACTGCGGTTGACCTCGTCGAGAAACTCCTGCTGAGAGGTGAAGGTGTGCAGATTGCGCACGACCAAGGTGGTGATGTCGGGCTGGTAAGCGCGACGACGCGTATGGCTTGCCTTGCACTCGTGGGCAGCTTGGGCATGGGTCTCCTGGGCCGTGGGCACCGTCACAGGGGTCTTGAATACCGCGACACTGGTGGCCGTCGCCGCACCGGCCACGGCCTTCCTAGACACTGGGGCATTGTGGATGCGCGGGGGCGGTGTCCTGGTGGCGGTCGCGGGAGCAGCCACAGCCTGGCCAACCACCTGCTGCCTGGCCTCGCAGGGGCGCGTCATCGAGATGGCCCTCGCGCA